TGTTTTTCTATCAAAAGCTTAGATGGAATTAGCATCACTCTTTCTTTAAGGAGCTCCTTACAGCAATCTCCAGGTATTGTTTTTACAATCAAAAAGATCTTGTCAAGAACTAAAAATGACATAGATGTAAGAATCGTTACTAAAGCCTTTTTTCTCATAGAAAACTAGGAAAAGACTTCTGAATTTTTGTCTGTGGAATGAGCATTCTCAAAGATGAATGTCGTATTTGTAACGCTTACTCCCATGAGAGACGAGATCCCTTCAACAACGACGATTTCGTTTCTTTTTCGTTCATTGTAGTAATTCCCAATATTCCAGCTACTGCTCGATGGGCACAGAATGCGACGACTGTTGCTGGAGGTCATGAACAAGGCAATGCCACCAATCAACTCTCCTTCCCTTATGGTCTCTTCGTTGATGATGATCAAACGATGGTCATCGCTGACTTCAACAATCATCGTATCATCCAATGGAAGATGGGTGATACGAATGGACAAGTAGTAGCTGGTGGCAATGGCCAAGGGAATCGATTGGATCAATTGCATTACCCAACCGATGTGTTGATCGACAAAGAGGCGGATAGTCTCATTATTTATGATTGGGGGAATGGACAAGTCGTACGATGGTCTCGTCGTAATGGTACAACTCAAGGAGAAATCCTCATCAACAACATCTCGTGTTGGGGATTGGCCATGGATAGTCAGAGAAATCTCTACATCTCTGACATCGAAAAATATGAAGTAAGACGGTATCAAATAGGAGACAAGAATGGAACTATTGTGGCTGGTGGCAATGGCGAAGGTGCTAGTCTCAATCAACTCAACTTTCCGACCTACCTCTTTGTCGATCAACAACAGACTGTCTACGTGTCAGACAACTGGAATCATCGTGTAATGAAATGGAATAAAGGTGCAAAAGAAGGAATTGTCGTCGCTGGAGGTCAAGGAGAAGGGAATGCTCTGACACAATTGTCGGGCTCTCTTGGACTGTTCGTCGATACATTGGGTACCATCTATGTGGCAGACTATCTGAATCATCGAGTAATGCGTTGGCCTAAAGGAGCGAAACAGGGCACTATCATTGTGGGTGGAAATGATAGAGGAGAAGGAGCAAATCAGTTCAGCGGTCCCGTTGGTTTGTCCTTCGATCGACATGGCAATCTCTATGTCGTCGATCATTACAATAATCGTGTTCAACGCTTTTCAATCGAATAAACTCAAAACAATGGATTATTTTTTTTGCGTTCCTTTCGTTTCAAATAAATCACATTGAATTGATGAAAGAAATATCTATTCTATTCGCGCGCGCGCGACCAGGAACCATCCTGATGGAGTCGTGGCGAGCGTAACGCTCATGCACGCACAGGACAGACTCATATCATTCATACCCTCCCCGCGAGAGATATGTCAATGAGTCTGAATAAGCCTGGTCGTGTGCCACGGACACTAAGACAGTTCCTGGCCGGGCTTTTAGGGACTACCCGGAAGTCCTTCATAAAAGACGAAACCCTAACACTCAACCGACAGAACTCTCCCTTCTCAATCTGCCTCTCCCTTATTCTCATCTCAAAAAAAAATGGTACTCACTACGTGTGACGTTGAATGATGATGTTGTTGATAGTGACGACGCAATGATATTGAGGACTAAAAAGAAAAGTAAAAAAAATAAAATTAATGTTACATAATAGAAAAGAATCAGTTCACTTACCCTCACTATTATCTTTTTTCTTCACTGTTCAATGTCTAAAATTAAAATAGCCAATGCATAAAAAAGATCATAGGAGGACTTACTACTCTCCATATGATCATAAAGAAAGAAAAAGAAATAAAAAAATGATACCTACATTTTATTTTATTGTTCGATGTTGATTTTGAATAATTTTGTATTGTCGAAGCCAATCTAAAATATAAAACAAAATAATTATTATTTGATTCAAATAATTGAATGACTTCTTCGAAGAAAATCATTCACTTTTATACCTCCAAAAATTGTATTTTTTCTTGGACGAGAAAATATTCACTATTTTTCTTCTCATCGGAAAATAATCGGACGTCAAGTTTAATTAAGCTTTAATCTAGACATATACATACATTGAGATATATTCGATCACAAATATCTCAATGTATATGCGTGGATAAAGCTTAATTTTTTTCACACATTAATTGTACGTGTCGATCATTGATCATCAATGATAACATGGATGATGACTTATGGACGAGAGGGATTGGTGAACGATGAGCACAAGGAACGATGAGCACAAGGAACGATGAGCACGGAAACTTAAGCACGGAT